TGCTTGACCACTGGTCCTTGGGTCTTGAGTTGTGACCTATCATTTGACTTGACTTAACCAGCTTCTGCAGCCTTGTGGACGAAAGAGATGCTGCAGTCAGAGTCTGGACTTTGGAGTTTGGGGATTTACCAGCACCTACAACTCCAAGAGCTACTTTTTCTTCACTTGGTGAGTTCTACGTGGCCACTGCAGCGAACTGTATAACCCTGGGTGTAAGGGGATAGACTAAGGGGAGGAGTGGTGGCTGGCAATGGAGTCCTATCACATTTAAATGTGGGACATTCGGAACACATTTCATCTCTACCTGCTTAGGACTGAGGAGCCCTGGTGGTGTAGGGGTTATCAGCTGGGCTGCTAATTGTTAAGGTTGGCAGTTTGAAACCACTAGGTACTCCGAGGGAGAAAGATGGGGCTTTCTATTCCAGTGAAGAGTTACAGTCTTGGAGACTCGTGGGCAGTTCTACCTGGTAATATCCGGTCACTATGGGTTGTATTGGACTCGATGGCAGTGAAATTTTCTCCCCTCCTCCCTCCTCAGGATTAGTCTTGCATTAATTTTTCTAAAAGAGATTATTTTCATATTTGCTATCAGGAGTATGGAATTTATTGCACTGGCTCCAGACACACAGAAGCATGAGGTTTTGAATGGGGGAGAAGAAAGGGGTATGGGAAGTAAAACTTGATTTTTAGATGGTTACTTTGGTTATTGTTACCCACAATGGCTGAAAGGAATGTAAGAGATTATATGCTACAGCTGAGGGAAGAAAAGCTACTTCTGGAGTGGGCTGGGGTGAAAACCAGGCTGATTAAGGAAGGATGATTGATATGGAGCTAGGGCCTATGGGTCCACCCTGCCAGAGGCTCCGACGGTATCCTCTTAAGTAGAAATAATCTAGAGATGGAGAAGAGGAGATTAAATTTGGATATTATTAAAAGGGTGAAGGGTTATCTCACTTCACTACACATAGTGAACATTTCTCCTACATGGTATGGTAAAATAGCGTGCGGTAGAAATCAATATTATTATCATGATCAGAGAGCTTATCAGCTACACTTGATTGAAGGGGAGGTAGGAATTGCCCAGAACGAAGAGGCTTTATTTTAAGCCAGAAGCCTATGGAGAGTTAGCGTTAGAGGTGGAAACCTGAGCTCCATCCAGAACTGCTAAGAGAACAGGAGACATATTTGAAGAGGCGCCTTGCAAAGAAAGAAAAAACAAACTGGCTGTTTGAGTTTTGAGCTGTTTGCCATTAGATACACCAAGGCAGGAATAGTGCACGATGGCCAAACTTATGACCAGAAATGAAGCTTCTTCACAATAAGAAACATTTTGGGGATGGGCAATTCATAAGCTGGGTATCTAAAACGGGCAGAGATAAAGGCATTCGGTGGCTGGCTGACTAGCTGTTACAGGTGTGTTCACAGTAAATGACTAGAAGGGGGAAGTTAATCCTCCACTATGAAGAGAGCAATGGCTGGAAGAGCCATGTAGAGGCCTGCAATGTAAGGAATACTTGATAAGGCTCTTGGAGCCATTGCCTTTGCCCCCGTCAGACAGCCCTGTTTCCTGATGGGTCTCGGTGAGAAGGCTGGGGAAGATTATGACTCCGCTGTGAGTGATTGTTAACGGGGTTCACTGTGATTGCCATCCTCCTGGGTTTACAAGCATCCATCTCAGCAGCGGGGAGGGGGCTCTCACTACCAGGGAGAGAGGAAAGCAGAGTGGAGAGCACCCTTTGGACCCTGCATCTGTCTGACTTCGGGTCTTGGGACTTGAGTTGTGACTTATCTTTTGACTTGATTTCACCAGCTTCTGCAGCTTGTGAATGTGGAAGATCAGACAAGTGGATGTCTGGACTTTAGATTTTGGGATCTACCAGCACTATTTCCCCTTACGCTGTGAGTTGTGTGTGGCCCCTGCAGTCAAGTGGAGGGGGGAGGTCGATATCAGGGGTAACAGTGAAGTGTAGTATTTTTGAGACACATTCAACCTCCACCTTCTTAAGACTAGTCTTGTATTAATTTCCTAAAAGAAATGATTTCCACAAGCAACACTGGAGAAAAAGAACTTGCTCTTGGAAATATGAAGATGTAAAAATAGAAGACTAACAGGGAGGAGTGAGGGAGAACGTTAAGGAAAGTAAGCAAATACAGAGAGAGAAACTAAGAGAACGTTAAGTAATGATGACATTCAATAGCCTATTCACATGAACGCCTAACTAGCAAATAAGAGTAAACTACCAAAGAAATGGAATACGTCCCCAGACTTGAAGCCAGCGTGAGACTGTAAGTTGACGGAGCCCATTGCGTGGGTAGGAGAGTGGAGAATACAGATAGTCTCTGAATTACACTGCTTGAGTTATGATGAACTGCACTGATGACTGCCCTTTTTTGGCTTTTAAAAAAAACACAACTTGTGAGTAATATAAGGCTTCAAAAAGTTCATGAAAAACATGGAATGAAAAGAGAAGGGACTTTTCCTGTGAATTTTTGATGCCCCTTGTATGTATGATGCTACATACAATGCTACAGGAATTTGCTGGGCTTATTCTCACACCAAACTCCAAAGACAAAGAGCAAATTTATAAAATACTGATAAAAAAGGCAATCATAAAAACTAAAAAAAGAAAAAGAAAATTAAAGAGGAGTTCCAATTAAGTCAGAATCTGTTCACAATGGAATTGTGGAAGGCAACCCCGATGTAGGGGGAGCTCCTTGTCGGGGGAAAAGTGAGAACAGCATTCCACACTTTCAGAATCATGGAGCCACCACACAAAGTATAAAAATGCCAACAGCACATGCAAGTTATGTATAAATAACAAGGATGAGATTAGTATTCTAATCAGCACAATAGTAGCAAGGAGAAATGTTTTCTAAAGTTCTTAAGGAAAGTAAAGTTCTTATAGAGAATTAGTTTACAGGCTAGAATTGTATACCTAATCAATCACTCAGAAATGCGGTCAGGATATAAACATTTACAGATATGAAGGCACATGTTATAGGGCTGGTGCAGGATGAAATCACAAAAAAAAAGTGATGAACAGAAAGAGGATCCAGACCTGGAGAGAAGGGACGGTAAATCCCAAGATGGCCTTAAACATCAGGCCAGAACAGCAGCCAGCTACTAGAAACTGGAGCAGAGAGAGATTCCAGGGGGGAAACTCCAGGAAAGACCGGAGCTTAGACTGGAAGTGAAGAAGGCAAGAAAAAGACAACCAGAAATTCCACTACAAGCCAAGACATGGGTCACAGATGAAGCCTGCAGGCCAGATTAAAACAGGAAGGCAACAAAACCCACAAGGAAGAAGCACACCAGCCTACCCGGACACGAATGCTGAAGACAAAGTGCGTACATAAGCAAATGCGGTGAAGAAAGCTGATGGTGCCAAGCTGTCAGATTACATAGAATC